ATTGACTTCACGATAAACATGATGGAGATAAATATAATCAAGGGAAGATGCCAAGGACTTGGTGCCTTATATAATATTCTTTTTATGAGATTTATAAACATTGCAATTTTGGCTTGTTGATTTTCCCTATTGAGAGATTATATTCATACACCTCAAATTACTTTTCTCACACCTTTTTAATTTTTTATTATTTTCTACACACCACTAACACTTGATAGAAAAATATTACAAAATTAAAAAGGTGTGAGAGAAGTAATTTGGGGTGTGTGAATATAATCTCCTTTCCTTTTATATCACCTATACCGATCATAATAGATTCAGGGTCAAGTGGTGGAATTTTATTATTTTCAACTCATTGTGTATCGAGTTCAAATTCCTTATAGCAGTATTACTGCATTTAATAAAAAAATATAGTAAAAAATTCCCATTATCTCATCATCTATATCATAAAAATAAGGATGATGCAATTCACACACTTATTTCAGACAACCTTTGTTAATTTTTTTGTCATTGATCTTCTTCAATTCATTTGATCCTACAACTGAAAATTAATCAGGAGCGTGAGAAGTAAAAAAGAGTGTTTGGATAACGCTATCTTAAAATAAAAGAGGCAAATGGGCCACTTACTTGATTGTTTGAGGCCCAATATTTAGTCCTTTACCCATTATATTATGATTCGCTTTCTTGGGTATATCCAACTCCCCCCAAATAATATTCCGCGGAAGAATAAAGCTAACTTAACCACAGTTAAATCCCAACCCAAAAATCTAACGACGGTCAAAACAAAACCCTCGATGAGCTGGGATAACAAAAGGATCGGTCAGACATATGGACAAGAAAGCAACACGTGGACGGTCAGATCTCAACCGAACCGTGTTACGCATTATTTGTTTGGTTAAAATTAGGGTTAGCTGTTGGCCTCTCTCTAACGCATCCCAAACTTTTTCTTCCCCAATCCCTCGAATTCATCCGATTTCTCGTCAATTTTGTTGGAAGATCTTTTATTTCCCGATCTGCGATCATGGAGACTGAGCGCGTGACGGAGTTTCCTTTCGCTCACTTGGATCGCCGCCCTCGAAAGAGGGCGCGTTTGGGCTGGGATGTTCCTCAGGCCCCAAAGGTAGTATCTTTGTTCTTCAACTTTTCGGTCCGATTCAAAACATTTGTGGGTTTTATCTGATGAATTGATTTTCTGGTTTATGCTATTATATTTGATGATTTAAAGATTTTATGTATTTTATTGTTCTAGATCTGATATTAAAGTTTCAAAATTTATCAAAATTGGTAAATTTTTTGGAAGGTTATATGTAAATTTCCAGATTTTGGATCGGAGCGTGGATATACTGATTGAATCTATGTGATTTATGAGTTTTCAGTTTTTTACGTCGATTTACAGAAAATCTATCTATTTAGGAACTTATTTGTAAATTTAGGAAAATTTTCATTCAATATTTTCAAAGGGCTACTAATATGATCTTAGGAAGCTTGGATTTTAAAATATTAGGGATTAATCTGTACTTTTATCTGGTATTGTCAGTAAAACAAGCGAATCCTTAGAAACCCTTTTGGTTAAATAATTTTTGGTAAGTTGATATAGAGGTAATCAGCTTGATTTATTGAAGATTTTTATTGTTGTGTTATGTAATTTTATATTTGAGAATTTCTTGAAGGAAGATGTTGATATATGTGCATATTGTTGTTGGGAACGGTTGGTTATATTCTTTAATGTTTTAAATTTATATTTGCCTGTAATGTTTGTTCTCTAGTCTTCCTCGTAATTTATTAGCTTTGGTTATGATTTATATGAGATTCTGATTGGACTTGAGGGGTATGGACTGGGATGCAGTATTGGGGTTGGCAGAATTTTGAATTAATATGTTAAATTGTCATGAATGGATGGATGTGTGTAGGCTCAGGTAGGAATATTTTGTGGGCAAGAGCTTGGGAATGTGACAAGCTTTGCATCATTCGTGGCACCCTCAGAGCCCACTACTATTTCTCTATTTGATAAGGAAGTGGCTCGAAATGGTTCCCCCCCATGGAGAGAGGATGACAAAGATGGACATTACATGTTTTCGCTTGGAGAAAATTTAACATCTCGCTGTAATTACACAATCAACACAATAACTTATGTTCATTTTAGATTGCAATTGTTTTTCTGGTTATTTAATCCTCTAGTTTCTGATGTTTCAAGGAATTTTAGTGCTGGCCAGTTTTCTAACTCAATTCTTTATACGTTTTTTTATATTGGAATTTGTGAACTTTACAATTTAAGTTGTGGAGTTTAATTGTTGTTTTCACTTCTTTCAGACAAAATTCAGAGCAAAATGGGTGAAGGTACCTTTGGCCAGGTGTTGGAATGCTGGGACAGAGAAAGAAAGGAAATGGTTGCAATAAAAATTGTTCGCGGCATTAAGAAATATCGTGAAGCAGCAATGATTGAAATTGAAGTGCTGCAACAGCTTGGTAAACATGATAAAGGTGGCAACCGGTAAGTAGTAGTTGCTAATTTTCAACTTTTTACTGACAAGGAGTGTTTGAATAAGCTTTTTCTTGAACTTTTTTGCATTACTTGTTTGCATTGTTAAATGGGTTCATTCCTTGCAGTTGTGTGCAATTACGGAACTGGTTTGACTATCGTAACCATATCTGTATTGTAAGTATTAGATTAGTTTGTGATGGATTGATTTCCCCAATTCACAAATAATTTGGGGGTTAAAACTTGTTCGTGAAATTCAAATGGTTTTAACAGGTATTTGAGAAGCTTGGACCAAGCTTATACGATTTTCTCAAGAAAAACAATTACCGCTCATTTCCCATTGACCTTGTCCGTGAGATTGGCAGACAACTCTTGGAATGTGTAGCATGTGTGTAGTAATACCTAAGCTAGTCCCTTTCTATCAAATATATATTGCTTCTCTTCATATTTTTCTTACATTGTCAAGAGGGATATATCAATATCAATGAATTTTCACTGTTATTAAAACTTTATTAAAACACATTGTATGGGCAGAGATATGCTCTTTTCATACCAATCAAGTTAGGATTTGTTAACTTAATTCAAAATTTTCTTTTTTTTTTATTGTGGTCCTGCTTTCTGTTGATATTCTCATTTCTATGCAGTTATGCACGATCTTCGTCTTATTCATACCGACTTGAAGCCAGAGAATGTACTCCTTGTTTCTCAGGATTATGTTAAAGTTCCTGATTACAATAAGGTGGTTGCCGATTTCTTTTCTCAGTTTCTTTATTTTGTCTTTTGATTATTTGATTTTTGAGCATTCTCTCCTCCTTTCTCTTGTACTTGTGGAAATTTCTGTAACATTCTATCAATTGCTGCTGCAGAGCTCATCTCGATCACCCAAAGATAGCTCCTATTTTAAGAGAATACCAAAGTCGAGTGCTATTAAGGTTATTGATTTTGGTAGCACAACTTATGAGCGTCAAGATCAAACCTATATTGTATCAACACGGCATTATCGTGCACCAGAGGTTATTCTTGGTGAGTGAACTCACTGTGTACTGATGTCTTTGTGCTGTAAGCCTGTAGGTAGACATAATATTTAATTATTTATGATGGTTTTGTAGGGCTGGGATGGACCTACCCTTGCGATGTATGGAGCATTGGTTGTATCCTGGTGGAGTTGTGCACGGTTTGTCTGCTAACTATATGCTTTTGGTTATCAATATCTTGTTGTAATAATGTAAGCCATATTTATGATGCTTGTGCTGCTTGGTGTAGGGTGAAGCCTTGTTTCAGACTCATGAGAATTTGGAGCACCTTGCCATGATGGAACGGGTACTTGGTCCCCTTCCCCAGCACATGTTGAAGAGCACAGAGTATGTGATGATAATAACATTTGTTCATAATCTTTTTGAAGCATGAAGTTGCTAAGTTTTTCTTACGTAACCTTTGCACCTCGAAATTTACAGCCGACATGCTGAGAAGTATGTTAGGAGGGGTAGATTAGATTGGCCAGAGGGTGCAGCTTCAAGAGAGAGTATCAGAGCTGTTCAGAAGCTTCCTCGGCTTCAGGTTTGTGGTTCACTGCCCTTCCGAATTTCTGTTTCCTACTTGGTAAACTGTTGGAGCCAACTCCACGTCATGTTTATACCTAAATGTCCTAACTCGTTTCTCATTTTTTGTTGCAGAATCTCATAATGCAGCACGTAGACCATTCCGCCGGGGATCTTATTCACCTCCTGCAGGGTCTGCTTAGGTACGACCCCTCAGATAGGCTTTCAGCTCGTGAAGCCCTCCGACATTCTTTTTTCACCAAGGACAGTCTAAGGAGATGAGTTTATTCTCGTTTTTGCGTTCTGCCGAGTGAAGTGTACATTGTATATACTATTACTGAGCGAGGGGTGGACACACCGGCTATTCCAGTTGAACTGCACGCGGCCGATTTATGTAGTGTAAAAGTCTGCTAACCAAAGTCTGCATTGTACAGAAATGACATTTCTACATTTTGTAAGAAATAAATTCATCATCATCCTACGTCTTCATGTTTTGGCCCAATTACAGTTCTTGATTGCTTGCTTACATGTACTCTCCTTGGTACCCAAGTAATGACCTTCTTACGACTTGCTCCCCAATGAATCACTTGTTCAAGTTAAATTGTCATTTCCTTGTTCTTCAAGTTAAATGAGCTACAGTACTGTAATTTCACTCTGAAGCTAGACCAGCCGGTCCGGCACGGTCGGTTTCTTCGATTTGATCGGCCCTTGTGCGAAAAAAATGTCTTTAAGAATCTTGGACCACCACCAAGCTTACTTCTTGGGCCACCGATGTGCGAGAATGTGAACCAGGGACAATAATGTGTGCAGTGTTTTATGTTCTGGCCCACACATGTCAAGTTTTACCGGGCACATGCTCATCAAGAGTTGACAACACTGTTCACTACCTTGTTTTTGTTGATGTGAGCTTTTCGCTTCCGCATTAAATCGTGACACCATCACGGATAGTACTAGACACATGCCATGCTAGCACATTCTCAAGAGTTGACAACACAAGTTTACTATGTTTTTGTTGATGTGGGCGCTTGTCAAATCCGCATTAAATCGTGACACCGTCACATGTACAACTAGACACGTGCCCATGCTAGCACATTCTCAAGAGTTCACAACACTAGTTCATTACCTTGTTTTTGTCGATGTGAGCGCTTTTTAGATCCACTTTAAATCGTGATACCGCCTTATATAGTACCAAATACATGCTCACGCTAGCACATTCCCCAGAGCTGACAACACTAGTTCACTACCTTGTTTTTTTGTTGACGTGAGCTTTTTCATATCCATATTATATCATGACACCGCCACATGTAGTACTAGACACTTGGTCGCGCTAGGACATTCCCAAGAGCTGACAAACACTAGTTCACTACCTTGTTTTTGTTGATGTGAGCGACTTTCAGATCCGCATTAAATCATGAAATGTGTCATCAAAGAAAACCTAAGACTCCATCCTCCGGCTCCACTTTTAATTCCTCATGAATCAACCGCGGACGTAAAACTGGGAGGCTACGATATCCCCACGAAAACAAGAGTGATGGTCGGTGCATTTTCCATACAGAAGGACCCCAAAGTATGGGACAGGCCGGAGGAGTTTCTCCTGGAGAGGTTCGAGGACAGCTACATTGATTTCAAAGGCCAGGACTTCCAACTCATCCCGTTCGGTTCTGGGAGAAGGGGTGCCTGGGAATCGCCTTTGGGGTTGTTTCGGCCAAACAACATTCTGTACTGGTTTGATTGGAAATTGCCTAGTACTAGTGGTAGTGAATTGCCCGCGGCCTTGGACATGACTGAAGTTTACGGGCTCACAGTCCGTAAGAAAGCACATCTGGTTCTTGAGCCGGTAGCCTACTCTCCTTGATCCCGGCATCCAGAGATTTCGTGCTTAATTTTCACTTAATCTAGTTGTTCTGTTGTTTTTGTTCAAGAAGAATTTGTTTCTGCCTTTCCGTTTAATAGAAACACTAATCCGAAGTAGAAGAAGGGTGAACTCGACAATCTAAGTGCTACAAGTCCGTTTCTGCTATACAAACATTGGATGGAATCGAATTCTTATCCTGAATTCGAATCCGAATTTGCTCTTAGTGGTGAGCATTACACCACATGAAGAGATTGACATGTGCCATGCAGGTTAACCATAGTTAGTTACTTTAATTTGCTAGTTTAAATTATAGATTTGATTAGCAACATCCTACGGTTGATAATGATGCAATATTTTGGAATAGTGCAATGAACGATATGAAGTATTGAAAGTTTTCATATATGGAAGGAAATCGTTGAAATAAAAAAAATAAGTAAATATGGCCTAATTGATTAGGGTTTGCAAAATTCCTTGGTACCCAAGTAAACAGCTTTTACCTTCTGCCCAAATATTCTCTTCTCCCGTAAAAAAAATGACTGAAAACCTCCCGTCAGTTATATGAAAGCAGCAAACACAAACCTAGCCCACAAAATTTCACAATTTGCAATGAGGTTGACGGCTTATCCGAACTCTTCGACTCTTATCGTTCCTCCGGACCTTAAAATTCCCAGCAGATCACTCTCTCTGATGGTTCCGAAATTCGAGAATGGGACAGCTCCAGCCAAGAGAACAGCAATGAGCATTAGTAGGAGTAGGAGCAGAACCCCTCTAATGGCAATGGGATTCAGTACTAATGAATGTACCTTCCAACTCTCCTCGGCTGACCCCTGCCTTGATATATTTTTCAACATCGTCGAACCAGCCGACTATGTAAACTACGGGCACTACGTGTTTGCAACTGGATCGATCAAAAGGCATCCACCAGCCGTAAAGGCGGAGGTGGAGGCCTCCTGTGAATATCTCAGGCAACTGCTGCCGCTGGCATGGTCCGACAATCCCCTGACCACCCTCAAACTCATATGTTACCTAAATGACTTTAATGGAAAATCCTATGAACAAGCGTTCTACACGGCCGCGGTTTGGCTCCACCAAAACCACCCCAAGACCCTGTTGTGCAACGTTGCGTCTTTTGGGAATATGTGCTTGCATAGCCTTGCAGAGATTCTGCACCGCCTCCTACAAGGCCAAGACGGTAGATGGGGGAGAGTACAGCCCCTCGGGAAACTGACCAAGAAGGCTGTAGAGATGTACGAGGGTGACCCGGATTATAAGTTGTTACATGACCATGTTACCGATGTTTTTGTGAAGCGCTTGGAGTCAGATATTCAAAAATTGAAGGGACAATTCAAGCATGATTACCTTAAATATTATGTGCGTGAAGACATCGATGATGATAGTGATGGTGATGATGATCAGAAGTATGCCGAGGTAACCCATGCTGCAGACTGCTTCCTTTCCGGAAACCATGATGAATCCCGTGCTCCACGGGCCACTTTGCTGTGGGAAAGCGTTGCGCGGAAGGTTTTCCCACCAGCATCATATGCGGAGGAATACAAGGAAGACTACGAGAGCAGAGTTGTAGACTGGCTGAGGAAAGAGGTTTTGGCTCCCTTATACAAGTACTCCTGTAGTGGCTACAACGGCTGGAAGAGCTGGGAGGTTAAGGAGGAGAAAGGACAAGTTTCGTTCAAGGATATTTGGGACAGGGAAAAAGGTTGGAAAGTTGACCGGCAGAACCATGTCATGGAAGCAGCCATCTCCGGCAAAGAGTATCAAAGTCTCGTTGTTGTGGACTGATCGATCCATCACAGTCATATTCAACATCTATTTCCAAGTCATTTTTTAGAGTATTCGTTTCTTTTCACCCTTTGTAGTTTACGTGATATAATAAGGGTCCCAGATATATTTTGAATTAATGGATTTCTGTTTTCTTTGCAATGTTTTTCTCTCGTAGGTTTCAATCCTTTGGTGTCAAGGAATGGATAGTCACTGAGTTCTTTGCAGTATTTTCTGCTATAATGATTGAATGATACTCCATCTTCTTCCTTGATGATATGGTCTCAAAGTATAAATTGTAGCAGTTGCTTGTTTGCCTAGACTCTTTAATGCATTTCAACTAACACTTTGCCAATGCCACCATATATCCTAGGCTAACTTGTTGACCAAACAATATATCTTGGCTATCTGTGGCCGAACCTTGGATGAGTTCAAGTTATGGGAGAAAACAGGTTTTCCTTCAAATCACTGCTGCACTATATAAGTGCACATTACCGTATGATGGATACACTATTTGTAACCTAATAGAAAAAGGGGGAACCCCAAATCTGAGTACTACAAACGCGTTCCCGTAAAATGTAATTATTCTATCGAGAAACAGGATCTGTGTTTTATGGAGAGATTCTTGTATGCGGACTGTCGTATGTAGTAGCTAGGTTGAAACAGTTCAAGTTTGTTAATAACCTTGTAGATGAAGGTGTGATAAAGTTTATGACGAGAAAAAGCTTTATAGTTTAAGTATCATGATGCAAAAAACAGATAATAATTGACACACAAAAAAAAAAAGCCATAAATCAAGTATTATGACGCGTTTTTGCGTCATTTAAGGGCATGGTATCGTGCTGGAAGTTATACCTAAAGCTAGAAATGACGAACGTGAAATGGTGACGGAACTAGGTTTAAGAACCAAAAAAAAAAAAAAAAAGGGATCAATGGCCAGGACTTTGAATTTAACGTCCCATTTGTTGCCCTGCTGCATTCAACTTTGGGTTTCCAGCAGTTGAATATATATGCGATTGCCTTGCCAAGCCAACCTTTTGTATACTGATTTGATTGGAAGCCGGCTAGTCATGACAATGCATCCCCATCCTCCATACTAATTTAATATGCTCTTTTTTGCATTCCTTTTCATCAACGATAATCTACATTAAATGCATCCCCCTCCTCCATGAAAATTCAAACTTGAGAGCAAATTGGAACCAAAACAAACTTTAATGTATACACTAGTGTATGCTTAAAGTCGAAGATCTCGTTGGTCTTGTAAGTGGTTGAAAAACTACGACTGCAATTTTCTTTAGGAAGTCGCATAGCAGTGAAGCTTAACAGACAAAGAAAACGGTGAAAAAGAAGAGAGACTTACTTGTCTTTGCTCTCCTAGTTCAGGAAGACGGAAATTGCCAGTTTGGCTGGTCCAACCAAGAAAAAACATTGAACTTTTTGGGTGGACTCTTTAATCCGCACTACAACAAATAAAAATGTTTTCCAGATTGATATATGATGCTAAATCGAGACCAACATAAAGAGGGCTGCTCGTTGGCTTTTCAAGACAAATCATAAGAATACCTTTACTTTACAGCCTGATTAATGCGCTAAGCGCACTTCTATGGCCCTTTGTTGAGCTAGAGTTTCTTTCTGAGAATGTGCCCTTATCTTCACTAGTAGATTGGCAAACCTATTGTGAACTCAATTCCCTGAACTACCTAAGCAATCTTACAATTGTGTAAGTCTACGTTATATCACTTCACTCACTTCAGTTTCACCAAAATGATAACTAACTTGTCCCACCAGAGTGCTGTCTAAAGCCATAGGCCATAAGCTGATGATCTCCTAGCGCAAAAGCCACTGATCAATAGTATACAAGCACCTCCGACACTTAATACCACATCTATATAAATAATGCTATTCTTTTTCCTTATAAATGAGAAATTTTAAATTCGAATATTATAAATAACAAGTTCCATACCTATTTATTTCATCGCTCCTTACTATAAATATATTTAAAATAAATAAAAAAAACAAAAAAAAAACAGTAAACACCTCGAGCCTCCTTCCTCTCCTCCTCTACACCATATTTTGCTACCCGCCGTAGACTGTAGTCCTTCTATGTCAATAAAACAAAACCTTATAAAATGATACATTGTCATTTGTCAACGTCTCTCTCATCTCTTTCATGCAGTTTTAACAAATATTATTATTTTCTTCTTCCTGTTTTCTCTTCTTTTACTATATATGAAGAAGTATACAGAGGAGCAATAATGCCATTGTTTTGTTTTTTGAATAAACCATATTATCTAGTCATTGTTTTTTTATTTAACAAATGATATTATCTACACTAAAAGAGAAAAAGTGAGCAAAACATCACAATAAACTAGTATTAATGTTAATCACATTCGCCATTATTATAAAGTGAATATTATTAACGTCTCTCTCCCTCCCTCTAATTGTCTCAACACACCTTTCACCCTTTCAATTCTCCGGCACTTAAATATCTCAACGGAATCGAGTTCAATCTCTTCGGATACTAATAGATTCTAACAAATTTCAAGGAAAAATGACCACACCAAATCAAATCGAATTTTGTAGATGACATTTTATCGCAGTGACAGAAAACAATAATGCACATATACTTTAGTACGGGTTTGATTCTCACTGATCTCCAACTCACTGATGCTATCATTTGTCACAAAAATAAAAATAAAAATAAAATCATGTTCCTATCTAATAGATAATCGTTGATAAAATAGTGATGCGGTCAATGTTGATTATCGTTAAAACTCAAAGTTTTCAAACCCTTTTCATTAATTTTTTTAAAAAAATAATATCATTTTCAAATATTATTTTTTAAGTTGGATGTGATACACATGTGAAAAGTTTAGTAGGAATGCCCGGAGGAAAGGGGCAAAATATAGAGATGCTAGCTAAGGCATATCCCTGCTACAAATTCAGATACTACAAAGAGAAATGCTGAGGGGACTTTTTCAAAAACGGAATTCTCCATGAACTTTTTGTCATTTTATATTTTTTCCACAATGTTTTATAATGTTGATACGAAAATTGATGTTAAACTGTAAGGTGGCAGATAGTTCATAAAAAATTTCACTTTGAGATAATCTCCTAACCTACTTTCTGAGTAACTGAGATATGAAAAATTTAATACACACACAAGGTGGTCCCTTTGTGTTGATGCAAAATCATCAATGCAATCCTAATAGTTGATAGAATAGGAAAATAAAAGGAAACGATCCCTCCTTTCTAGGGAGGAGGATCTCTTTTATTTGATTACTCATTTTCCTCCCTAGGAAGACAAAAACAATGTATTTTAGGGTGGTTCTTTAGGCACCTTCACATCTACATCTACATCTACCTATATCAAGCACGTACACACAAGCAAGCTTGAAGCTCATCATTTTATCATATAAATGTCATAATTAGAATGGTTGATTCTCGTTATTGTTGAATGAAAATCATTCATAAAAAAATTCATTTGATTTGGAGACCCTTTTGTCATCCGTATGTGATAAACCATCGACAGTTTTGGTATCAAGTAACATCATCACGATGAACTGTTAATTTATTTGATTCATATGGATGACTAAACGGGCTCCAAGCCAAATAAATTTCTCTTCAGACGATCTCTAAATAATGATAAAGAGAATAAATACAGTAAAATAATATTTGGGAAGTATATTCCACTCCATTAATATTTGTACATATTATTTATTGTTTTATATTAATATTTAACCTTATCCTTATATTGTTATAAAGATAACGTATAATAATTCATATGTTAAATATTATACTATTCTATGTATACTTAAGTGAGTGTATGCAGTGAAATATAGAGAAATAAATTTCTTAGTAAATTTTGTAAATCATATGACGTACTTGTTGATAATTGAATTATTACCTAAGTATTAATTAATGTACTTATTTATTACTAGTATTACACCATATAATTTATAAATTTTATCTTAGAAATTAGTCTATTTAATGTTACTCGTTATATATATACTTAAAAAGGGGTTGGAAGTGACCTTTTTACAAAGTCAGACAAACACTAACGCATATGCAATCTTAGTAGACAATAATCCAAATATAAAATTTTGCATAAAATCTAGATTCTGTGGACCCTACAGTAATGCTTCATGGTGATGATACTTCATTACAGTAATGTATGAAGCATGACTAACATATGGAGGAAGGATGCTTTTAACGCAACTCTGCATGCTTTGCTTTCTTTTTTTGAGTGCTTTTCCCAGCAGTTTTTTAGGTCCCTTGCTTTTTGTTTCCTGTTTCCACTTTCCAGAGAACTCGTGCACATGTGAATTCCCATTTAATTTTTTTTACTGGATTTGGGATCCATATGATCCATGGAAAAGAAATGGAAGAAGATCACATGGGGGTGTATGCGTGGGAAATCCAACCACTTCTAAGCAATGATTATTAATTTTTTCTTGGAAGTTCTAGACATTTGTCAAAACCCAGAAGTTAAGCGTTCAGACAAACCCAGCAACGAGAGCTAGAACAGCATGTTAAAAGAGACCAACCCCAGCCCATTCTACACAAATCCAGAAAATTCTAGCACCAAAGTCGGTGCATCATGCAGGCATATCAATATGCTAGATAATGCTAGCATTATCCTATTAAGTCGGTGGGTGTGTGTGTATAATAATGTGCCAGAAAGTCCTAGCAGCTTGTACAATTGTGTGGCTGCCATAAAAAGCCCAATGGCGGTGGGCAATTGTAGTCGGCAAAACCACACCTATAAATATGTATGCATGTGTGTTGTTAAGTAACCAATTAAGCTTGTAATCAAGCAAGCAATCAAGTGAGAGTGAGAAGAAAGAGTACTCTTGTAAGAGTGTGAGTGATTTAGAGTTTGTCTTTAGAAAGTGAGTGAATGTCATAGCTTTTAAGGTTGTGTCTTTGTGAGTTTGTGTTGTAATCTTTTGTGAGTGTAATACAAGTAATTTGTTTACTTTTGTTGTCTCTCCAACACTTGGGTTAGAGTTGTGTACTCTAAGTTTTTTCCCAACACGCAATTGCTATTCTAGCTCTTGTGTTTGAGCAGCTGCAGAAGAATGTCTTTCTTCTTCCTCTTATCGAACTTTCTGCTTTCATTCTGTTTTCTCTTACTAAATCATCGTCCAATGGCGATGAGAAACGCAAACTCAAGTTACCACCTTCCCCACCAAGGTTGCCATTGATTGGAAACCTTCACCAGTTAGGCACATTCCCACACCAATCTCTCCATGCTCTCTCGAAAAAGTATGGCGATTTAATGCTAGTGCACTTTGGGAAAGTTCCGACTTTGATCGTTTCATCTGCAGAGATGGCCAAGGAGGTGATGAAGACGCAGGACATTGCTTTCTGTAGCCGGCCAAAAGCCACTGCTTCGGGAATATTGTTCTATGACGGTCATGATGTTGCGTTTGCTCCTTACGGAGAGTACTGGAGGCAAGTTCGGAAAATATGTGTTCTTGAGCTTCTGAGTCTTAAGAGGGTGTCACAGTTTCAGTACGCAAGGGTGGAAGAGGTTTCGGAGTTGGTCGAGAAGATTCGCAAAGCGTCGAGCCTCAATGGCGGGGGTCCTATTGTCCTGAGTGATCTGCTGGTGGCAACCTCCAACAACATTATCTGCAGGTGTATTCTCGGACAGAAGTTTGAGGGCGAGGAGAACAAGTGGTTTGGAGAGGTGACAAAAGATTTGATGTGCCAACTCATGAGTTTCAGTTTTACGGATTACTTTGGTCCGAGGATGAATTGGCTCGACCGTGCTAGAGGCCACATTAAACATTTGACATCGATTTGGTCCGAGTTTGACAAGTTTTTCGACAAGTTGATTGCTGAACATCAGGCGGCAGAGAAAGAAGGCAAGCCTCGCAAGAAGGATTTCGTGGATGTTCTCCTCCAAGTTCAAAAGGAGGGCAATGACTTTGAGCTCAAAAGTGACCACCTCAAAGCACTTCTGCAGGTCCGTATATGTACTGGTTTGGTATTAAGGTGTTTTTATAAGAAGTGGGTATAAAAAAAATTGAACTTAAAAAGATGTTTGGTAAACACTTAAAAACAGCTTATTTTCACAGTTTTGGGTGAAAAAAAAAGCTGAAAACGTAAAGCAGCAAAAATGAGTCTATTCTCACAATACAGCAGAAGAAGTTTTTTTTTTTCAAAACACTGCAATACTAAACCAGCCCGCCCTCCATAGCTCTCACTCATTCACTGTCTCTAACATTGATTATATACATATATGTTTGTGTGTGTGTGTGTGTGTGTAGCTGAAGATTGACTTGGATTCTTAATTTTAAGATTTCAGGACATGTTTGTTGGAGGAAGTGATACTAGTTGGACTGCCATGATATGGTTGATGACAGAGCTTGCGAAAAATCCACGCGTGATGAAGAAAGTCCAGGAAGAGGTAAGAAGGGTGGTGGGGAACAAGGGATTTGTAGATGAGAATGTTGACATCCCCCAAATGGCCTACATGATATGTTGCATCAAAGAAAATATGAGAGTTCATCCTCCGGCGCCTCTTTTAGTTCCTCGCGAAACAAGTACAGACGTGAAATTGCGAGGCTACAACATCCCTGCGAAAACACGAGTGTTTGTGAGCGCATACTCAGTACAAAGGGACCCCAAAGTCTGGGACAACCCCGATGAGTTTTACCCTGAGAGGTTCGAGGAGAAGTCTGTTGGTTTTGTAGGTCAGGAGTTTGAACTCATCCCATTCGGTGCTGGGAGAAGGGTGTGCCCTGGACTCGGCTTTGGGGTTGCTTCTGCCGAATATGTGCTTTCCAACCTTCTGTATTGGTTTGATTGGAAACTGCCCAGTGGTGGTAAGGAATTGGCCGAGACCATGGACACCGATGAAGTTTACGGACTCACAGTCCACAAGAAAGCTCCTCTTAACCTTATCCCGGTCCCATACAACCCTTGATCCCTCCATCGAGATCTGTCGTTCTTATATATGCTTTTTATTAATTTTGTTGGTTGTTTCTGTTGCACCTAAATTTGCATTAGCAATTCTGCAATTGACAATGTTGTAATCCTCTATGGGACGTCATGTCACCGTGTAGAAATTGTAGCAGAAACATTGTTTTTTTATAATAATACGTATTTCAGATGTCGTAATTCACTTTTAATATTTGACAATTATGTAATTCGTTTTAGCTATCTCTTGAAACATCTTAAGAAAAAAAAAAAAAAGGATAGGTATGGAAAAATGGAGGGAGCAATGAAGCGGTGGCAGATGGCAGCTAGGTGTCAGATGTGAGTTCTTCCCACTTAAGATTGTAGCCATTACTTTCGCACTGGTGGTGAGAGTAGCCAATTTTCCCCTAGACTTTTGAAAAACAAGGAGCAATGAAGCGGTACGACTGGTAGTTGAAGAAAAGTAGCAACGAAACCTAAACTAAAAAAGCAGTAGATTGGTAGGAGATATAGCTAAGCAAAGTTGTACTAGCAGAATAAACACAGGAACTAGTACATGCCTGCTTCAGCAGGGATAAACAAGGTAACCGAGACGGCAAGGTTGATCCATTAACTAACTCGTGTTCTTGACTTGACGGATAGTTCTATCGTCATTTTGTACTCTGTGTGTCAAATTTGCATCATCTTTGCTTACTTCTGCAAAATTTGCTAGGAAGTTTTACACTCTGATTAACTAATGCTTGGCTGAGCATGCACCGATTACAGTGAACACGATTTTTACATCCTAAAAAATGTCGAATTCAGCGGCAATGGACCGAATTGTTGTTAATCAGAAGCAGAGGAAACAGGCGTATTGGTACCACATTTGTTTTGTTGACATTCACTAAATCAGGTGGCAAACTTCACTTACCCTCATCCCCGCCAAAGCTTCCGGTAGATGGGAACCTTTACCAGCAAGGCACACAACCCTACCGCTCTCTTCGAGCCGTCTCTGGATAATATGGCCCTCTGCTGCTCATGCACTCAGGCCATGCTCCGACTCGTGGTTTCGTCTTCAGAATTTGCCAGAGGTTATGAGGACTCGTGAACTGTTTTCTCCAACCGGCCTAAAACCTCAAAGTACTTCATGTCTTTTTTTAGCGTCTTTTTTCGAGTCTTTTTTAGGCCTTTCTTAAAATCTCTTTTTTTATAATCTCTTTCCGAGTATAAAAATGAAGAGGAATATTGTTATCTAAATAGTCAATGATGAGCGTGACAAATGAATTAAAGGCAAGAGAGAAATGGAATCCACCATCATTTCGGTAAACATGACAATCTTCACTTTTGACAATACCATCATATTCATAACGATTCGCAAATTGACCAAAATTCAATTGTCTAGATACATGCAATTAAAATAAAACCAACGAATAAAGACAGACAAAGCAACATAGTGACAACAATTCTAACTAAATTATAGATTGATAATATACTTTATAGATTTTCTAGTAGCACCACAATATTGTTGGCATTGAGATCTTTGGTTATTGGATCTGTAATCATTAAATTCTGATGCATGTCATACACCGAAACATAATAACAATTTTAACACTTCTAATAAAATAAAACTCATGCATCTCTACTTTCGTTCAACCATAGAAGAAAAAATACACAAAATGGAGGCATAAGCCGGCTTAGGTCAAGTTACAGTCCTTAAAGAGTAAATCTAGAATAAAATTTGGTGGAGAATCCAACCAAGCACAAGGAAGTTCGACAGAGGAACCATAACGGGCTAGGCGATGAGCGATGCCATTAGCTTGGCGGCGGACACAAGTACAACTAACCTCAACGGTAATTGAAAGCAAAGCTTTTGTATCCTCCACAATTAGTCCACTCGGAGACAAATTGGTCAAAGAATCCTTTAGTGCTTCAATAATTTGACGGGATCATAGTTAATCACTTGGACTTGGCCTTCTCCATAATTCCCCAATAATCTAAAGGATCCTTAAGCATTCCATAATTCCTAACCAAATTAAACCATGCGCAAGAAGAATTCACTTGGACTTGGCCTTGTCCATTTTTGCACAATGCCACAATCATAGTTAATTACCACTTACCCTTCGCGTCGGACCTGCCGCAGCACAGCCGCAAGTGTATACAAGAATTTTTCCTATTTGGTCCTTTATACTAAAAGAGGAAGAGCCCAAATCAGTTTTAACGAAACACTTTTGGTACTATTTATTTTTAACGAAAATAACATTTTTACTCTAAAAAGTCATTCTTGGTATCATTCACTTACAATACATTTTTGTCATTTTGATTGAAACTCAAAGTTTTCAAGTCATTTTCATTAGTTTTCCTAAAATAAAAGGAATTGCATCCCAGTCGGATCCACTTAGATCCCTACATATTAGTCATTCATCTTGTATCGTGCTGTCAGAAATTATTTGACTTTTTTTATTTAAAATTAAACACAAATAGTATCTAACAAAAATTAATCGCACAATATATAATAAACGGTTAGAATATGAAGATTTTTAAGATCTCCACAAAATGGATTAGAAGATGATTCATTTTCAAAATAAAAAGGGTAAGAAAAGTGCATTTGATGTGGGGCACGATGTGACTTTCGTTACTTGTACATCACGAACTTTTCCACTTCTTCCACCCTTGGCTACATGGCTACATGTACACTATACTTTCCTACTTTTCTTGTGTGCAAAGAGCCAAGAAATTGCATACAAGCCACATAATTCTTCGATTTGTAGTGGAAGGAAGAATAATTGTCACAAAAAATTTCTACCTCTCCTGAACAGAGGGTCTGAATCCTGCTAATTAAGGAATACGGACCGTTGAATTAAAATCTAACGGCTACAAACAAAAAGACTTTTTAAAAATTATAATAATTATAACCGTTGAATTTTGATCAAACGGTCTGTGTTTATTGGTCAGCATGATTCGGATCCTCTGCTTAGGAGAGGATCCAAATCCGGTCGAAATTATTCATGATTTGGTGGTCAATGATAGGAAATGTTGCATCATTTACACCACGACAATTGGGAAAAAAAGTGCATCAACCTGTATTATTTTTATTTTTTCTAAGAAATGATAAAAAGATGCCTTAAAGTGAGATTTTATGATTAAGAGCATTTTAGAAGAAGATGTCAAATTTAAAACATTAAAATGATATTTGATGACTTATGTTGCAATTTGACATTTTATATAATTTTTTGCTCCAAATATTTGAATACAAAATAACATTCATTATATATTGTATCACATTCATTAAAAAATTCAATAAATAAATTTGACACTGTTGTCACATTGGAGTCCATCTTGTCGAATCGATGATCAATATAAGTTTACTGGTCTGGCTCTTCAATCAACGATCTATTGCTCCCTCTTTTTTGAGGGTAGAAGGCTTTGCATTTAATTGACTTAACGTTATTTAAAAAATTAAAGACTCGGTTGGATAGAGTTTGGTGCGATTTTTTATAGTTATATGTCTATATATCAGTTTTGACATTTTCTTTAGAGATGCTCTTATATTTTTTATATGATATTGATACAAAAATTAATATTAAACTGTAAAGTACACAAAATTTGTGGAGACTCTCACTTAGATTTTTTTTTTAATTTTCTTTTTTTCGTGGTCATAATTTATCCTTCAAAAAAAAAAGAGACATTGATCGGTGTGGAGATCGTACCAATCAGGTAATTGTCGAGCATGACTTGACGCTACCCATATTCTTTTGGATTGATGTTTATCTAACTAGTTTTAGGATTGATGTTTATCAAATTAAGCACTCATCGCCTTTCAATTCTCAGTGATATTATTAAATCCAAACACCATATGAAGGGGAAAAAAAACACAATGAAAAGAATAGGCCGTTTTCCGAACACCATCTGCAGATCCACTTTGTGAGACCTACCTTACTGGCGAGAAACTTTTATAGCACAAGTACATTTTGTCATCATAGTGTTATGTGCTAATAATACATATTTCATATAAAAGCTACATATACCACATGGCATGAAACATAATCATACCTAACATGTATTATTAGTATATAACGTTACAATAGCAGTATACTCGTTTTATGAAAATAGTCTTCTAGGCGGATACCCTTTAATTGGTCATTCTGAAACTGATGAGTCCACTTACCAACTCCTGAATTTTGGTCCACGGAGATGTGCGCCCAATATTGTGAAAGGATGGGCGGATTTGGATTTTCTCATGTACTTAGAAATCTGAATCTTCTAATCAAATCACACTAACAATTGGATTCTGATCAAACGGTTACAAACGGAAAATTTCTTGAAAATTATAATAATTTCAATCATTGGATAAAAATTTAACGGTTGATGTGATTTTATCGGGAGACTCAGATTTGGGCTGCTATATGGTATTATTAATCCTTATTTTAATAAATTCGCGCGTAGTTTCATATATATTGGTAGGAACTTGCTGGGTTCTTGCCTTCTTGGACCTTGGTTGCCTAAATTCCCCTTTTCACTTAAATTTTCAATTTTATGGCAAAGTTCATTGGAGCAGCAAAATCCATTTAAAGCCTCTGCTTTCTGCCCCTCTGCCTCCACCACTCAATCAAAGCCTCCACTTTTAACCCCTCCTCTCGCTCTCTCTCTCTCTCTCTCTCTCTTCCCTCCCCAATGGATGCTTCCTCTACAACAACCATGGCGCTCAGAGTCTCCTCCTCCTCTTCCTCCGCCTCCTCCTATTCTTCTTTCAAGCCCAACAAGTCACTCCCTTTCAAGTTCAGCAGTTTCCGGCCACGTCCCCAGCCCACACCCTTCAAATCCCTCAAATGCATCCAAACGCCGCCGTCTTCCAATCCCAACCCATTAAAGCATCCGCCGCCGCCTCCCCAAAACCCTGGCTCAGCCTCCCCCTTCTCCTGCTCCGCCCTCACCCTCTCCTCTCAAACCTCCGAGCTCGGCCCCTTAAAGCTCCAAACTTTGATCTCCGAGTTCCAATCTCTCCTTGAGCCGATCGACAGAGTTAAACGCCTGTTGCACTACGCGGCTCTCCTCCCTCCGTTTGATGATTCGGGTCGGGTTGATTCGAACCGGGTCATGGGCTGCACGGCCCGGGTGTGGCTGCAGGCCGAGATGGACGAGGAGGGCAAGATGAGATTCGCAGCTGACAGCGATTCCGAGATCACCAGGGGCTTCTGCTCCTGCCTGGTTTCGGTGCTCGACGGCACGTCGCCGGAGGAGGTGTTGCGGGTCAAGACTGACGACTTGTCGTCACTCAATGTGGGATTGCCGGGCGCGCAGAGGTCTAGGATTAACACGTGGCATAATGTGCTGGTCAGTATGCAGAAAAAGACTAAGGCTTTGGTAGCCCAGCGGCATGGTACGCCGCCGTTCGAGCCTTTCCCGTCGCTCGTCGTCACCGCCGAGGGAATTCAGGCAAAAGGCAGCTTCGCTGAGGCCCAGGTTAGCATAATGGATTGTGTTTCTGGTTGATTTATATGATTATATTGCCTGTTAGAAGTGCTTTATTAGAAAAGTTTCGAAATTGGTGTTAAAATATTAAATGCTTCCTGTAAAAGCACTTCAAAGTGCTTCCTCAAAACCACTTCAAAGTGCTTATGCAGAAAATGGTTCTATGACCCAATTGCTAAATGTAGTCAGAAGCGTTTTTGGTTGTCATAAATCACTTTTAGCAGTTCGGAAAGCAGTTCAAAAGAGGCCCTCAATCATTTGTATTAGATTCCAAGTTTGATTTGTATATTAAATTGCAGGCGAGGTACTTGTCTCCTGATGAATCGAAGGTTGGGGAACTTGTTAATGTGTTGAGGGAAAAGAAAATTGGGGTTGTTGCCCATTTTTACATGGACCCAGAGGTTCAAGGTATTTTAACTGCTGCACAGAAACATTGGCCTCACATCCATATATCTGATTCTTTAGTCATGGCGGATTCTGCTGTGAACATGGCGAAAGCTGGTTGCCAATACATTACAGTCTTGGGTGTTGATTTTATGTCGGAAAATGTCCGAGCTATACTTGATCAGGCTGGATTTGAAAAGGTAGCTGCTTTGCTTCCATTCATGTTTTAGTAAGAAATGCGAATTATATGTTGCACTTGTTAAGTTGGTTTTGACTAGGGCGTTTACGATTGAATGGCTTGATATCTCAAAGGTTCGTTGGAAAATTATTATAGTAGAGTTAATGAGATGTTGGTTCGGTGCCGCAAACTGGTGAAGCAGTTGATAATATATTCATTTTTTCATATACTTTGATTGCAGGTTGGTGTGTACAGGATGTCAAATGAACGAATTGGATGTTCTTTGGCAGATGCTGCATCTAGCCCTTCGTATATGGGCTATCTTGAGGCAGCTTCTAGGTCTCCTCATTCGTTGCATGTTGTGTACATTAATACTTCTCTAGAGACAAAAGCATACGCCCATGAGATTGTGCCGACAATTACGTGTACATCTTCAAACGTTGTCCAAACCATTTTGCAGGTTACCGGAATTAAAACCTTTATCTTAATCGTATTGAAATTCCGCAATGTCCACAAAATCAACTGGTACTCATTTTCTTTCTTCTGGCTATTGTAATAATGTCTAGTTCCTCATCTTATACAGGCTTTTGTTCAAGTTCCAGATGCAAACATATGGTACGGGCCTGATTCTTACATGGGTGCAAATATTCGAGAATTACTTCAGCAGATGACTAAGATGACTGATGAAGAAATTGCTGAGATACATCCAAAACATAATAGAGACTCAATCATATCTTTGCTACCTCGCCTTCATTATTTTCAGGTAAGTCTACTTTTATGGCTTTCTGGAGAGCTATTCATAAATTCCTTTCAATTTAACTCAAGGATAGCGTCGGAAATTTTCTTTCTGCTGTTTTCCTTGCATTTTCTGATTGTGGTCCTCTCACTGCTTATTTATTGCTGATGATGCAAATTTCTTGTATCAGGATGGGACATGCATAGTACACCATTTATTTGGAAATGAAGTTGTCGACAGGATAAAAGAAATGTACTGTGATGCTTATCTAACTGCTCATTTCGAGGTCCCTGGAGAAATGTTTTCTTTGGCAATGGAAGCAAAGAGAAGAGGAATGGGGGTTGTGGGTTCTACCCAGAACATACTAGATTTCATAAAACAGAGAATTCAGGAGGCTTTGGATAGAAATGTCAATGAGCACCTTCAGTTTGTGTTAGGAACGGAATCTGGAATGGTGACTTCAATTGTAGCAGCAGTTCGTAGTTTGTTAGGTTCTGCGAGGTCTGGAGGAGCAGAAATTAATGTAGAAATTGTATTTCCAGTTTCATCAGACTCAGTGACAACGTCAAGTTCTTCCCCTGGCCTTGACTCTGTAAAAGTTGGTGATGTCATACTACCTGTCATACCTGGAGTTTCCAGTGGGGAGGGATGTTCCATCAACGGCGGCTGTGCTTCCTGTCCATACATGAAGGTCGGCGTTTCCTTTTTGGGGTTTGATTTTGATAATTTACATAGGTTTAACACATCCCAAATGTTTTCGAGCATGATATCTGATAATAATTTTGGAAAGTATAGGTAGGAATCAAGGATATTCTCGGAAAAGTACCTAAATCGTTAGTTTCACCCTTAATGGTTGCAAGAATAGTTTATACTGGGTTTTCTTCTGCAATAGTTTGTCTTGGCGATTCTTATTACAAATTAAATCAGTAGAGATAATTAAATATATTCAAGTTGGTGATTAGGACATGCTTGAGCTAAGGTTTCTCACGCAGTCTTTAATGTAAAATGCCAGATGAATTCTCTCACCTCCCTCCTGAAAGTTTGCCACCACCTGCCCGATGAGACAAATAATACCCTTTCCGCATATGAAGCAGGCCGTTTCAAACTGCAAACTCCCAATGGAAAGTTAGTTGCGGATGTTGGGTGCGAACCAATACTGCACATGAGGCACTTCCAGGTTAGTTCCTCAGGACAGTAAACATCTTAAACTATACATAAGTAGCTTCTTGAGATTTTGGATTCATCTTTTTGTGGATATCCTTTGCAGGCCTCTAAAAAGCTGCCGGAGAAGCTAATTTCCCAGATCATTCATCCGTCTGGTGACGGCAACTCGGTGCTGTTAAATTAAGTGAAAGCTTTAGCCTAAATGATAGCAACCTTGGACTGCAAGCAAGATTCTGAATCCTGAGGGAGGCTTTTTCTTCAAGCAAAGTATTCGTTTCCAAACCTTTGTTGCATCATTTCCTCAATTTATTTTTCATACGTGACAGTCTTGCAGTTTAACTGGTTTAATTACACACAGCATAGTTCAGAGTTTAGAGATCTATAGGAATGGAAGTTATAATAACCATCGATTTTTATATTCAATCCCACGATCAAGGAATTTGAGTTCTTCCCGAGTCTTGCCTTCTAAATCTCCATCCCCGGGACAAATGCTTATGGATACGTAGATGTTTATGATGGTAAGCTTTCACTTACTGGTACTGACCGAATGGCGAGCACAGATATGCAATTCATTCCTCAAGCAGACGTACGATAGACGGCATCAAGAAGTTAGTAACTATTTCTTCTGAATTTTGTGTATGTTATTTGGAGATGTGTGATTATCCACAATAGTTACGCATAAAGCTCGAAAGGGCTCGTTGTTAAATTGTTCTCTTCCCGCTGCATTGTGTTGGGAGAGTAGGCAAGTTTCTCATGTTCTGTAATCTGTACTCCTATGGGGAACGTTATATACAAATTCACTATTTGACTGTCATTACCTGTGTTGTTGCTGTGCATTCGTGCTCTGCAAAAACTTGGTCTGTTCCCTGAAAACCAGCTGAACTTTTGTTGTAATTTTGATACAAGCTATGTTGTGGGAGAGGTGAATCGAACATAGGACCTCGGTCTCGTCTCTCGGGTGTAAAGACAAATACTCTTAACACAAATTTCTTCTAGCTGACCTTTGACTAAATAGTTTCATACTAGTTTTCACTATGTTCATCCATTCCAAGTAGACATAGAAAGTGCAGGTTGATAGGCACGTCCGATCTTGCACACTTCCCAAACGAGTATCGAACACCTAATCTGAGTGCAATTTCGATGGTTCATAATTTTTTAAACCGTTAATGTATGGGAATCTCATAGTGAGACTAACACACATCAAAGATCAAAGCATTCACGATTTTAATCCGTTTTGATAAAAATATGACTTGTAACTCAATTGTTTAAGAATATTTACTCTAGCACTATTGCACCAGTCTTATGCGTTTACTCTAACGTCTGAAATTTTATAGCGTTTGCATCGAAAAGTACAATCACATTTTTTTCAAGTAAGTAAACATTACTATTTGTCACTCTAACATACCCTTTTTTCTTTAAATAAAAAAAAATAAAGAGAAAATAAACTCAAAACATGCAAATTATAATCCAGCATTTGACCAACTTGACCGCTGCATATTTCTTTTATGACGACTTTGCCCTTCTCTTCTCAGCAATAAAGAAACCAGCCAGGGACAAAACCGAGAAAGCACTGAAGACAACCGAAGCAATGTCAAGCGACAGGTGGCGCCCGGTGATTCCCTCGACCACAAACAAGTTGGCGGTCTTTTTAGTGTCGGTAGTCTGACCGTAAGCCACCTCCTGACCCGCGGCGTTGAAAGCGTAGGCGCGTACGAAGTAGGTGGCGCCCGGCACGTCGCGCTCGATGATCCAGTCGAAGCTGTCGTTGGACTTGTTGCTGGTGTACGGCCTTTCGACGATCTTGAACTGGCATGTCTTGTCCATGGCGAGGTTGTCCACGGTCTTCCTCCACCCGCGGTCGACTTGGCTCACCGGCGCGAAGCATAACTTGACCTTGATGGTCTTGAAGGTTGAGTCGGTGCCGGCTTCGTAGCTCTGGTTTAGACCCCATGAAACGGTGAGCTTGTCTATCCCTGCTTTCAGAACTGCAAAAAAAATTAATATGGATTAAGAATCTAATTTTAGATTACCTAGTTAATTAAAATAAAAAAATTAAAGAAAACCCAGTCGGGAAGTTGGGGTTTTGGAGTCGAAAGTTAAGAGACTTTTTGTGTATGTGTTTATGTGAGCTTTGTGAAGTGTGAAATTCATTAAGTAAATTGGAAAAATGAAGATTTTGGATCAGAAAATGGAAAGGTTCGTAAAATTTGAAGAAGAATGATGCTAAGGAAATTAAATGTGCAAATTAAATAATGTGTTATCAATAAGAATAAATACGTTTATTAATATTTAAATAATAAATTAATCATCAACTTCGCTAATTTTCAAAACTTTAACTACAAATTTAATCTTCTTAGCATTACTTATAGATTTGAAAGTTGGAGATTTTCGGTAATAATTTTGATGCTTCCGTTTTCTTTATACCGGTGGATAGAAAAAAGTGCAAGACATGAGTGTGAATAGAAAAAAAAATCATAATTCATTTTTCTTTCGTATTTCTGTTATATTTTAAAAAATATATAGAAACTAAATATAAAAAAAATCATAATTTGCAATGAAAAGATAAAAAAAAAAAAAAAAAAAAAAACCCAATTGAAAAAGAGAAAAAAGGGTTTTGACAGCAAAATTAATATAGGAAACCTTGTTGCAAAATAAGGAGTTTGGACTAGAAAGTTGGAGAAGTAATTTTGATTCTAGCATTTTCATCTTTTGCACTCCTCCTATTTCGTATTTTGATCGAACAAATCGAAGACAAACGAAGTGCAGAAGAGAGAAAGGAGTGCGGAAATCATATCCCTATTGAATTTTGTTTATCTTTCCTAATTCGGAAACTGTAAAATTCGTGACTTACCATGAAAATATAAAGAAACCCAATTGAGGAATCAAGATATTGAACTAGAAAGTTGGAAAAAGTTTTAAGTTAAATGTCTGTATTTACCCTGGTTTTCTGTGTGTGAAGCGGTGACAAAGAGACTATCCTTGAGAGAAGAAAAGAGGACAATCCCATAGGAGGTTTGGGATAAGCAAGAGAGCACAAGAAGTAAAGCCAACAAAATCCCATGCGATGCCATCTCGGAACTTTGACTTGCAAATCCCCAAAAGATTGAAACTTTAGAGAGAGAAACAGTGTGGAGAGAGAAAAAAACACTTTAGAATCTGATTCTGGAGGTGATGCTATGAACTGGCACTTGCTACCCTTTATACACAAGTCCCAAAATTAAAAATTGGGTTTTTGCTGAAGAGGTCAAAAGGGCCAAATTAGGGATTCAAAACATGCAGATAATTTAGTTAAAAAATAGTTTAATATTTGATTGGAGTGTTTAAGTGGCCCTAAAGTGCACCGAAAGGGTGGGGTTATGAGTTTTCATGTATAATTTTTTTTTCTTCTTAAAAAAAATAATATTATCTATACTAAGAGTATGAAAAAGTGTTCATAATAAGGTATTAATAATGTGGTTCAAATTCGCTTTTGGCAATGATCGAATTTAAGAACTCTTAGGTACAAGCGAAGAAGAATATCACTAGACAGTAGTAATAAGAACCAATATTTTGGTGTTAGAAGTATTAAAAATTCAAGGATTTTGTGCTGGATGTGTATGATTTTTCTTTATGAGTAATGTTAGAGAGACCAAATTTTTTAAATCAAGTTGCAAACTAAATGATGGGTTAGTAATAAGAAATAAGCACGTTAATCGATACTTAATTAATAATACAATCATCTATAACCATATTTTTTTAGTTTGTAAATTTATTTTAAAAAATTTGATGTCTTTAGCTTTACTCTTTGTTTATTGGTTGACTCTATGCGGGTTGAATTTTTTAATATGTTCCTACTTGTGTGGGTGTTGGGCGGGGTGGGGGAAGAGGTGAGAAGAAAAGATATGCAAAACATGGTGGCCTAATGTGTTCATTCTTTGTTTGTCCTTTATGTCTTGTGAAGGGCAAACAGTACGAGTCACCAAGTAAGTGGGAGACAAGAGTTGAGATTCATAAATAAAAAATATATTTGTATCATCTTTTATATTATGTCTTTAATAAAGATGAGTTACATATGTATTGATGGATCTTATCTTTATTAGAGAGATAATATAAATGACTGCATAAATATGTGGTAAATGTAGCATTACTGTTAAGAAATGATAAATCCACATTTTTCTAATTAATTTTGTTACTTTTGGTTGATATATGCAATTAAATTTAAGAAATAAATAGAATTATGTTGAGAATGAATCTCACATTGATAAAAGCTGAGACTTTGCACGTGCTTATAAGTAGGTGAGCTATTCTTCATATAAGCAATTGGTTTTATGGTGGGGCATCAACTTCTTCGTAGTATAAAAGCAAGTTGGCCCATGTGTGAAGTCCAATGGCCTTAGGTGCTCCACGTCACCCAAATTGTGTTGTGCATGTGTTAGGTTTGAAACTTTGCCACACATGATGAGACGTGTTAAGAATGAATCTCACATTGATGAGATAAAAGACTTTTCATGTGCTTATAAGTCGTTAAACTACTCAACATACTCCCCTTATTACCAATTGATTTTATATACGTGTAAAGCCCAATAGCCCCACGTGCTCCATGTCACCCGAGTTGTGTTGTGTAAGTGTTAGGTTTGAAAATTCGCTACACGTGATGAGACATGTTAAGAATGAATACAACATTGATGAGAGGAAAGACTTTTCATGTGCTTATAAGTCATTAAGCTACTCATCCTACTCCCTGTATTGCTAATTGATTTTATAGTGAAATCTCAATTTTCTTACTGTTTTCCAATAAAAAATTGTTATGGTTTGCATAGTGATCTCATAAACTCCATTCATATAAATTCTAATTTTAAAATTTTTTGATTCATTATTGCTAAATTGAAATTTTATAGTGCGCATAGATGTTTAAGTGGCAGAAAGCCTCCAATTTCATATTCAAACCAACTCTTTTGCTCTCAAAATTATGCAACCAAGTAAGAGACTCAAAAGATGTTATGCACAAATTATTGAAAAAATTAGACAACTGTGTACCTTTCTCAATCCAAAGTCAACGAAAATGCTTCATGATTTCCCAAAGTAATTTAAGAGATTATATCCATGATCAAACTTCAATACAGCTTATGCAAGCATAAGAGAAGATTAACATATTTTTCTTCTTTAACTAGATTCTAAAATCAATGAGAAGGATTAGAATAATGAAGATTATTTTTAATAATTGTAATTAATTTGGGTAATTTTTAGGTGAATTTAAGAATGACCCTTCTAAGTTGACGGGGCTAGTCACTCGTGATTAATTGTTTTCTTCATTTATGAAAAGAGTGAAATAAACACCGTAAAATAATATTTATAGACAGACAGACTATTTTATTCATAACAGAGACGTGAAAGTTAATAACATGTCATCTTCGCTAAACACAATAACGAAAACAAAAATATGTTGTTATTTCAGAAAACAAAATAATATATGATTCATATAAGAATTGCCACAAAAATGGAGCAGGTGTTTCTTGAAGCCAGCCCCAACCAAGCAGGTGTTTGCGATAAGTAGTGCAAGTTTGGACGTGTTCTGATGGTTTTGTCACAAACTCAGTGGCTTGAAGTATTCCTGATTTAGCATTTGGAATATGTACGGTCAAATCGTAGCTGCAGGTGCGGTTTCTATAGGATAATATTCAGTTCTGTAAGCCGAACTTGCAGGCCTTAAACATGGTTTTCTTTGGGCATCAAGGTTGGGTCTTGATCGTGTTCTGGCAGAATTAAGAAGGAGGTGGAAGGATATAATAGTTTCTTTCCTCTAGAAACTATTTTAATAGTTTCATTTTATAACCACAATTTTTCAATGCAGAAACAAATGTTTTTAATAAAATGAAGAACAAAATTCCTCTTAAGATTGTTCTCTCCTCATGTGAGAGTCTTTCTCACCGTTGTGTGAGTGGTCTTCGCTTTCGTAGATCCGCGTTGCCGTTAGCCTTAGTTGTGGCTAAGGTCGGTGACGATCCCATGATTTGTCTTTGTTTTCATATTTTCCTTGCTCTTCATGTTGCCTGCAATTTTTCTTGTTCTTGCCCTTCACAATCTCCTCCTTTCTATTCTCTTTCTGCCTTTGATTTCACCATTTTGAGTCCTAATCCCTAATCCTCCGTGTCCTCTATCCTCCTCGATCCATTCCCTTCCATCATCTCCATCATTTGGCTCCAGCATCTCTCTGCCATCCCCAATTCCGTTTAGGTACCGCCTATTTTCATCGCGATTGTTGCGAATGTATGAGAGTTTGTGTAGAGTTTGGGCTCAGGTGTTCGCACCACCACCTTTGTCGGCCCTTCCCTATGTTCGTCCTTGTTGGCGATGTTGTACATGAAATCTTTCTTCCCCCGTACTTCTTTGATTTCAGGAGGCCTAGATTATTAGAGTTTTTATGTGTTGTTTTTTTGTGGGTTGGGCTCCAAGGCTGGCTTTGGGCTTTGTCTTCTGTGTTTTTGAGCCCATCTGATTTTTTGTGCTTAACTTGTATTTGAGCCTCTATTGTACTTATTCCTTGTTGGTAATGAATTTTATATTTGTCCAAAAAAAAAATTCCTCATAATAATGAGGTATGTACTAATCCCAATTTGGGGTTTGACTATAATACTTATGTATTAAATACAATCATTCTCTAACGGTCAAATATGTTCATCTAAATATATGTATTTAATACAATCACTATCTGACTGAGATGGTGATTGTATTAAATGCATATGATGATTGTATTAAATACATGTAAGTAGAGGTAGAAAAATACCAAAAATCCTGAACCGAACCAAAAACGCCTGAAATCAAACCAAAAAGGAATAGTCTCAATTTTATGACCCCATACAAGAAAAAAAAAAAAAAAAAAAAAAGGAAAAGTGTTTCCAAGGTATCTACTAGTTTCATCCAATGGACACGATTTTAGTTTAGCGAAAATTTATTTTTTGTCTTTTATTCTCTTTTAATTTATTCAATTCAAATGCTGGAGATGAAAAAAATTAAATAGTGCGGAAATCACTAGCAATTGTGACTATCTTGTTTTCTTTGATCTACTCCAGATGTCTGGTAAAACGATCTCCAAGTGAAAAGATATACTATCTTGTTCTTTGATGAAAAGCAGAAAGTTGATCATGAACTAGAAAAGAAGGAAAACTTTCCAATGAATGGCAAAGCATATGAGTTGGCCGTCAAAATAGAATAATCTTGTAGTAGTTGAAGAAGCCCAATCAATAATTTGTGAAGGTGGAAAGTAAGTTTTTCTTCCTCAAAAACTGATTTTCTATTTCTCCTTTCTTTTTGCGGTGGAAAGGGGTTTACTTATAGCCCTTCCACCCGTGTTGTCATAGTTATTATCCGAGTGTATCTCTATCTCGTAAAAAGGATAGTTCGTGGTAATTACTATTAAAAAATTATATTTTGTAAACAAATTATTAAAAATAAGATATTATTTTATCTTTGTCTATTCTTTTTGAAGGCAGATTTTCTGCCCTTCTATTTGGACGCCATTCACTTCTTCTTTTATTTTATACAATCACGGTTAAATCACGTTAATATTTTATATTAATTTTTTTTTAAAATAATAAAATATAAAATTTTGACGTGATTTAATTAGAGAAATAAAAGGAATGAGAAGGAGCGCAGACATTCTGCCTCATTCTTTTTCTCCATCATCTCTCGAAACATCGACCTCTCCTCCCTCTTTTTCTTTGCCCCCTCTGTCTTCCTCTCTCTCAAAACTCTCCTCCCCGTCTATCTTCCCCTCAGAAAATCACAACCCACAAGACTAATCAACACTCCACGCAACCTCACGACGCCAAATCTCATCACACCGCTACCGGCTATTTCTGACCATCCTCATTTGAGCCCCATCAAATCCTAAATCTAACTCCGCCGCTGGTTGCACCCAACACCCAGAGCTTCGTCCCTCTTCGACAATGACGATGACCTTAGCTCTATCCCCCGCCGCACGGTCGACGAAATCCTCAATGACACCGATTCGTCCGCCTCATCGTCCACGCCCTCCTTCATTATCCACCGTCTCAATTTGGATTCCATGGTTGAACGTGGCTGACGACAACGTGTCTCAATTTGGATTCCATGGTTGAACGTGGCTGACGACAACGTGACGTCATACCACTTGAGTAAAGCTAAAATACAAAAGAATCTCTAAGAAAGTTGTCTTGCGAACGACTTGATCGGTTATTTCTATCGAAATTTTCTCCATACTGTGAAAAAAACAATATAAAAAGTAATGAAAGAGAAAAAAGAAGAGATTTTTAACGAAAAACTCTCGGTACTATTTATTTTAACAAAAAATTACATTTTTATAATAAAAAGTCAATTTTGATATTATTCATTTTACCCTTTATTTTGTTCTTATCGTTAAAATTTAAAGTTTTCAAATTATTTTCATTAGTTTTCTTAAAAAAGAAAAGTAAATAAATAAATTTATATATATTCATATGTGGTGCATATATGGAAAATGTTGCAATTAGAGGTTCAATCATCATCAACAACTCCTCTCAACTCTATCACATATCCAACATTTTATGCTAGTTACAGCCATTCATTAACCTTTCAACATATTATCTAATATTTCTTTATATTAAGTTTGAAGACATCACATTCACATATACACATGTTGGTAGAAGAAATTTGCTCAATTATCAATATTAAATCAAGAAAGAGGAAAGAGAAATTTTGTATAAAAAAATATATAATATGTGGAAAGATGCCTCTCTAGGTTGGAAACTTATTGGGCATTCATTTGTGTATTTTGTCTGTCTTTCTCCAATCCTGCCCATTTGTTCAATCCCAGCTGTAACTGACCTCCAACCCCTCTCCTTCTTGGGCCCCACCTCCTCTTTTAGCAATCCAATCCTCCAACACACAATCCAATCTGCATCCTCACCGTCCCATGCTGTCCCCATTCCTTGATGTCCCATTTCATTTGCCACCCTGGCTCATTCCTCTAGTGATGAAACCAATGATATTTCAAATCAATCACGTAATGTCATGTAAAAATATTAATGTACATGTTATGTGCGTGAATAACTTGAGGAATTGTCATCGTGCGAACTTGAAATACCGTCACAATAATGTCTTCGTAAGTGATGATGAGTATAGTCTACCAAGAGATGGATACATTTTCTCATTCAACCTTCCAGGCATAAAGAAACAAGCAAAACTCGGATGAACAAGCAGAACTTGCATTAATCCCTTCTACTGATGCAGAACTAGTCTGAGATGACAATGGAGTTGATGCCGATGAAGAAAATGGCAGCGAGGACGACGAGGTTCTCGATAACGGTGGCAGAGAGGTACTTGAAGCAGGCAAACTTGGCTTGAAAATAAACAATGCATGCCTTAATCCAGGACTAAAAAGCCAGTCATGGACATCCCAATAAACCTCAATTCTCAACTTGTTGATACGAATGGACTCATTACCTCTAAACTTCCATTGAAGATGCTTCACATGAACCACCAAATGCCCATCAACCCTAATCTCCAACTCCGGCTCCACCCCATTTAGGGTACTTCCACTCCCAATGCTCCCACCGCCACCGCCACCGCCGCCGCCGCCTCTGTGTTTGCATTCAATTGCAATTTCGTGCAGCCTGCCTTTCTCATAAAACTTTGCTTTTGTGGAAAACTTTTTCTTACCAAAAATGTGCTCTTTTTTAGAAACCAAAGTCGGATCGGTGAGGGCAGGTCTAAAACCTGTTTTTCTGTATGCATCTTTTTTGAGATCACCAAGAAGCAAAACAACTTCCTTCTCACAAAGAACCGCAACGTAGTACTCTGATTTGGGCTCCGTCCCGCCGTTGAATTTTGCTGCCTTGAGGTCCCAGAAGATCTCCACTGCTTTCCCATCAACCACAAAGCGCTTGGAGCCTTGCTTCCTCCAGAAGTACCATGGCTTGAGCTCAACTTTGAAGCTGTGTTGGGTGTGCTGCTGGGTTTGATCTCCATCCTGGCCCTCCATGGTCACCGATAGGCCATGGAGGAGCAGGTTTTTGCACCATGTGATCGTGATCAAACGGCTCTGATCAGCTATCTTGGCTCTGTACACTGACATGTAGACACTGTGGCCTGACCTAGCCACAGCTGATGCATCATCACTTAACTTCTCACCTGAGGAGAAGCAAGCAGGAATGCCAATGTGGTCTTGCATTTTTCGTCACCACGACGGATTCAGGATTTGAAAAATCAGGTGCGTTGAACGACGAATCCAAGACTCAAAAATGAGGTGCGACGAACCTTTTTAGCAGTGACAGATCCAGGATTTAAAACTGAAGCATATTTAAAGGAGTTTTCAAAGCAGAAAGTTTCTCAAGAGGATGAAAACCAAAGGAGCGGAAGATGAGGAACAGATTGGAGGAAGGAGAGTTGGGGGGAGAGGGGGGTTTTAAGATGGTGGGAGAGAGTGAGTGAAAGAACCTAGTCACAAGATGTGTTGAGTCACAGATGCTGCCAGAGGTGTGTTTGGCAGCATTGTTTAAAGAACAATTTCTAAACTGGCAGATAGACTGGCAGTGTATTTCTAACCTCTCTCTTACCTGGATTTCAATTTATTTATTTTGTTAATTGTACTTTAAATATATTACAATTTTCTTTGCAATTTTACAAAGACAACTTTATTGAATCCGAGGTGGTTTTGCTTCTGCTGCAAGCACTTAAATTACATAATTCCATGCATGGTTAAAAGCAGCAATAAGACCATTTGTCAACACATTATTTAGGGTTCAACCATGTAATTTGACTTCTGTAAAAAACGAAACCTTAAATAATGAGTCAAACTATCAATCAACCATCGATCAGCATATCATGCATTTCATAAAATATATAATTCATAGTCTCTCTAAAATCAACAAAAAAATCCAGTCAAAATTATATAACGTAAAAGAGTTGGGTATTTGGTTTGCTTCCCGATGTGGGTCTTGTGGATTTTTTATTGTTTGAGTAAGTGTTCATAAAGTTTGTATATGGGAGGCGCAACTTTTTTCAACTTTGTATACAAACATGTGTAGTAATTTAGGAGAGGAATCTAATACTCCGGGGGTGGTGGCGACAATTGCTGAGGAAAAAGTCTGAGGAATCTAATGTTTGTAGCTGCTGCAGATCTGGTCCAGCTAGCTTCCTCTTTACATCGCATTGCAGCCCTATGGCTGCCCACTAATGGTTGCATAATAATGCTTGGATAATCCTCTCTTTTTTACCTATAAATGATATCACTGTGACGGTTTCATTTCAAGTCAATCAAAGCATTATTATGTATCTTAATTTTAATATTTGTTTTACATGATAATGCTTAATTCACTTGACATACTGCTATAGTGATATCCAAGTTGATAGACCAAAGTTGAAATCCAAAATATCATTAGGCAAGGAATGAATCCAAACTTTCTCACATAACTTAGAATGACCTATATTAGCAAAAGCATCAACCAGCATAGTTAGTTGTCATTCTTGACATATCAAAATGTGTAAACTAATACACAGGGATTGAAAAATGGGCAAGTTCCACGTTGAAACTTGGTATGTCATACCTGAATATCTAGGTATGTTTTTTGTTGTTCAACTCAAATCTTCATCTAAACCGCATATAAAGAGGGATTAAAAAACAAGAGGATCCTCAAACATAAACAACTAGATATCATTCCCCATGTCATTCTCTTTCTTCACCTTTCTTACACGAACAATGATTGGTTACTGAAAGAAGAGCATAAGCTCATGTTGAAACCCCATTAAAAATTGACGTGTGTCTAAATAAGTAGGGTGATGTTGGTTCAAGTTTTAATTCTTTATTTTTGGACACGTGTCCAATTTTAATTACACTGATTGAATTCAGTCGGAGCTCCAGCTTTTCTTTCGGCAGCCAATCCTTATCCTTTTTACACATGCCTCATGAAATATTACATTTAAACTTTTATTTGGTATGTGAAGAAAAGGGCTAGTCATCTTCAGGCCCAAATTCAATTACTGGGCCAGATTATACCGTTGATGTAGGCCCGTTTGTACAATCCTTGGGCCCAAATCAGAGCCCTAATGCCTTGAAGCCAATGAGGGCATTTTCGTCCATCTACCCTGAACATAAACCCCATTTCCCAAGTGACCGTGGGTTTTGGGTAAGCCACTGGTCATCCCTCCCCGTTTGGTTCCCTAGAAAACCCAATAGAAAATTGCCTCCATTTTCTCGTTCCCGCACTCCATTTTCTCAGCAACCAAACAGAAAATTTGATTGCATACCCACTTCGTAAAAATGCAGTCTTTAAGCGCGAGCATCCGATTGGTCCGAAGACAGAGAATAGACAGCTCAAAAATTGCTCATTTTAGATCAATCGGAGCTTACCAATGGAGCAGCGGTTCTGGGTTTAGCTCGTCGGCGTCGGATCGTTTGGCGTCTGCCAAGAAATTGGGGGATTCTTCGGGGTTGGGGTCTCTGAAAAGTTCCTTGTTTCAGTCAATTTCCAAGTTTTCGTATCGGTCTTCGGCCTCGTTCGTATGTTTTCGACTCGTTATACTCTATTTAACAGCATTTTAGCATGTTTTAGTTGATATTTAATTTGAAGATTGCACTTTTAACATGTTTATGGTATTGGATTTTACTTTGAATATGCCTGTTATTTGTGAATTTTAGGTGTTATTATTCGAAAACACAGTGTTCTTCGTGTAAACGAGTTACTGGGTGTTGGTACATTTGAAAAAAGAAGATTTCTTTGTTAACTTAAAGGTATTTGATGCACTTCGAGCTTGCGAATGAGTCTACAGGCCGATTTGCTTCGCATTTTGCTTTTCGTTTTTTGGAAGGTCACTTGCCAGTGTGCACAATGGAAAGGAATCCTCTCCGGATCCCTTTCCACCTAATCCACCATGTCCGTGATCCGGACCGTTGAAATTTGATCCAACGCAACGGCTACAAACAAGGGGTCCCTTTGAAAGTTATAATAAATGTATCCGTTGGATCAAATTTCAACGGCCCGGATCCTAGACTTGGTGGATTAGGTGGAAAGGGATCCGGAGAGGATCTGCACATCATAAGTCATAAATTTTGGTAGAGAAGGTGAATTGGACGACTATTTTATGTGTATGAGATGTATATATAGTTACAAGGGTTAACCGGAACACTTGTAAACCGGAAATGTGATAGAGAAGTAACTAAAAGATATTCTGGAGATGTGGATTATGACATAATTACTGTACAACTAGGAAACACGAACATTAGATGACACGTCATAAACACATATTTATGTTATACAGTGTGGAATTCATCTGAAGTGCAATATTTTGTCTTTCTTTCCTAACATCGATTTTTTTGTGATGCTGCGTGCTATATTGTACCAGACTACGACTAGCTCTCCAAGTGAGACATCAACTTGTTCGTGTAGTTCCAAGTTAGTCAAGAGTGCTCGACCAGGATTTTGTCGATGTGCGGCAGTTTTACCTCCTTTCCCAAGCAGGTGCATTACAACAGGGGCAAATCCTGTTCAATCAGCTACTCAAGATTCAGGAATGTATGAGTCTGATGTAGCTCCTCGCATCAAATTCAAGAGGCTTGATAAAACTGCTCACCACATAATGCAGGCATGCCTCTATCTGTTGGTATTCATGACAAGACATAACGCATGTTCTATTCCTTTTATATTTATATTGGCTCATTATATTTCTACAGATTCTAGATAAGGAAGCTGTAGAGGAAGTGAGGACACAGAGAGAAATACCGGATGTAAGGCCCGGGTACATGGTGCAACTCAGAGTGGTATGTTGTGTTCATTTTGAAAAATTAAAGTTTTGTAAGGTGCTTTATGTTGTGGACGGAGTTCCTTGCGAGATTGAGTAGATTCTTTTTTTCCCAATGCTTTTCTGTATGTGAACAGGAAGTACCCGACAACAAGCGACGTGTTTCAGTTGTGAAAGGCGTTGTGATAGCTAGACGTAATGCTGGTCTAAACTCTACAATTAGAATCAGGAGGCAAGTGGCTGGGGTCGGGGTTGAATCTCTCTTTCCACTGTAAGCAATTCTGGTTTTTATTTTCTTTTACATTGATGGTCCTAGCCTGTATTGTCTTTGCTACCCTGCTTTAAGTTGGAAAGAAAACATGTGAACCCTGCTTTAAGTTGGAAAGAAAACATGTGATTTTCATAGTGGGATGTCCTGGAAGTGGGTGTATTGAAATCTTACCGTGATAACTTATTAATTCTCGACTCTGATTATACGGGTATTACATACTTGTACAACATTATGCATACGACAATTCAAAGATTAGTTAGTTGTTGATTGTCTTATAAAATGTACATTAAAATGGAGCCCGTAGAAAGTTACTGAGTTATATAGTCATAATTCTGTACTCTAGAAATAAGAAACTAACCATGTTAGTAAACATTGCTAGTTAACGCTCTGGTGTTCATGACTACAAACTGATTAACTTCGACGCAAAGTCTAGATTTTTAGTTATTCACACTTCAATTACTATTTGGGAGAAACAGATGATTATTTTGTAAGATTATTTTGTATGCAAACTGGGTGTAGTGTCTTCAAACAAATATTTATATTGATTTCTGATTAGTTCATGTGCAACTCATGTGTGGGATTTGCCTATTCCTATCATTTGTTTCACATAAGAAGAACTGTGCTCAGTCTCGACAAAATTACTGAAAGTGGACAACGTATGGCAGGTATTCGCCTAATATAAAGGAGATTAAGGTGCTGGACAAGAAGAAAGTGCGGAGGGCGAAGCTGTACTATGTCAGGGACAAAATCAATGCATTTAAGAAGCAATCGTAGCCGATGGGATCAAAAGGATGTTGCCTGACGAAGATGGTTCCCATGTATGACTTGGGTCAGAAATCCAGCAAAATTTTTGGTGATCTCTTTTCCTCTTATTCTTTTTCTTTTGAACGCGTTATTAGTCTGTGAATCTTCATCAAGTCTTTGAGACTCTGAGATGCCTGGTAGAGATGTGCGAGTTCAATTGAATACCGGGCAAGTTACCTGAATATTTTACTTTCCGATTTAGTATGTACTCAGGTTTATGAATGTTATCAAGTTGGCATAAATGTGATTGCTACACTCGTAGGCTGTTTTATCATTTATTTTACTTTGGTTAGCTTCTTCTGTAGTTTCAAGTCCGCTGGCCATCTCTTGCGTTGCTTGCTACGGAGAAATGAGAAATTTTTCAGTGTAATTGTCATATTTCTTTGTGATGTTACTAATCCACATGTTACAATATGATATCGGTGGACAACATGGTTTAAACATAAGCGACCTAGGGTACGAGTGGAATTGTAACACAGCATGGCAGTGTGACCAGTCACACTGAATCCTTTGCTGACATCGCTTAAAACAATATTTGACAGTCAACTTTTGAATGCGTGAATTGTAATTGGTAGGTGGGACAGAGATCCCTTTTATTTATTTATTTATTTATTTATTAGTACATCGATATTTTTACACTAGAAAAATGAGAAGTTTGGCGAAGCTACACAATTGGCAGTCTTATTTGGTATCGAATTTGTCATCCACGAGATTCGAATCTAAGACCTGTAATTTTTAAGTCAAGAGGAATATCATCAGATTGTAGTAGTATGTCTTTTTTAGCTTATAGTTTTTGGACGTGAATTCAAGCTACGAGGTCACCATCAGCATTTGTGTGCTAGTTCGTCTTGTCTTTATGAATTAGAAAGAAAATGGTAACTGGTGATAAGATTTCTTTTGGAAAAATTATTTTTGTACATTAGCGTGACGAACATGATTAATTAAATTACGATTAATTAATGTCACATTAGGTGCTAAATATCCTGTATTAAAAATTCAACGAACAACCCACTAACCTTATAGTACAATATCTAGTTGTGTCGCTCTCATGAATACTAGGTCCATTTTTTGGTGTTGGCGGAGATTAGTTTTGGTGAGCGTCTTTTGATGTTTCGAACTACAATTTACACAGGTATTAAACTGTGATTTAAATATTTTCACTTTAAATTACAAATGGGATCTCTCTTTTCTCTAAAGTGTAGCTTTGTTCAAGCTACCATCTCGTTTGGAAATATTTCTAAAATGATTGAAACCGTTTTTGATGAATGTTTTCTTAGATTCAAAAAACACTTGAAGCGTTTTAACTAAAGATTGGTTCTAAAAACACTTTTATGAAAAACATTTTCAATCATTTCAAGGCGCTTTCAAACGAGTCATTTTCAATTGATTGGTAGTTGTATAAAACTTGAACAGTTCTGAACATGGATTAACCTGCTAACTGGTTAGCTTGCAAGTTTATAAAACACTACCACTTTTTTGGATGAATATGTTTTTTAGCAGTCGTCTATTTATTAAGAAAGTCAAACTAATATTAATCAGTAGAGCCCACTTGCAAAAATTGTCAACCGTTAGATGGCCGCACATAAAGAATCAACGTAGCAGTTTAAGGTGCGAAAGCAAGCTCAAGAAACGCGCGTAGCACATTACTCCCACTTGACCGAAATAAATACAACAAAAATAATATAAATCAAATCAAAATCTCAGTTAGTTCTATCATCTGACTTGCTCTCTCTCCGTCTCTCTGCCAATCCGACGGCTTCGCTTTCACGTCCCAATCTCTCTCTCTCTCTCCTCCTTTCACTTTCTCACATCTCCGCAAACGCACGCTCCTACGTCTGTGGTCTCCGCCTTCATACTTCAGCACCTCCGACTGCCGGTTTCCTAATACCGTGCGTATTGGAATTTGATCCGAATCGGGTCATTTTCGGGTCGATTCGCTTGGAAAAGACGAACGTGTCATCGACAATGCCACATGATATGTCGTCGGAGCAGGACACCGACGATGCCGATAGCGAGTTCGTTGAGGTTGATCCCACTGGTCGATACGGTCGGGTCAGTGGCCGTTACTTTTTTCACTCTCTCTTTTGTTTTAATTTCCATTTTTTTCTGTTATCTTTTTTTTAATTATTTGTCGATTTGATTTAGCTGGTATACTTTTGAAATGTTTGGAAATTAATTACTCAATGCCTTAAAGTCCTAATATTTTATTAACAAAGTTGTGATTTTTAGATTGATATGTGTTGAATTCTCTTTTGTTTTGGTGATTTTGCAGTATAAAGAGGTTCTAGGAAAAGGGGCTTTCAAGAAAGTGTAACCTTTTTGCTCTCATTTGTTTATTTACTTATTTATTTTGTGAATTAATTTTTGGGTTTTTAGTTGGATACAAATGCGTTTGAATTTGAACCATTTTACTTGATATTATATCGAGGCCGAATTGTGTTGTGGATCTGTTTTTGTGTGGCCTTGATCGGTAAGGAACTTAGATATCGAGCATTTGATGAATTGGAAGGAATAGAGGTAGCTTGGAATCAGGTTAAGGTGGCGGATCTACTACGCAACTCCGAAGATTTAGAGAGACTTTATTCGGAAGTTCATTTGCTTAAGACTCTAAAGCACAAGAACATAATTAAGTTTTACAATTGGTGGGTCGATGCCAAGCATGAGAACATCAACCTTATTACAGAGATTTTCACTTCGGGAACTTTACGACAGTGAGTTTTTAGTGATCTGTTGTTGTATAACATTCAATATATGTGATTCCTTTATGCTTTTATTCAGTGTCCCAGTGTCTCAGTGTCCATTATCGTGTAGGTACCGGAGAAAGCATAAGCACGTTGATTTGAGGGCGTTGAAGAAATGGTCTAGGCAGATCTTAGAAGGCCTTTGGTATCTTCATAATCATGACCCCCCAGTTATCCATCGAGATTTGAAGTGTGACAACATTTTTGTCAATGGGAACCAAGGTGAAGTCAAAATTGGTGACCTAGGACTGGCTGCTATTCTTCGACAGGCTCGTTCAGCTCACAGTGTCATTGGTGAGGACTACAATTATAGTCATTATTCATATTTTTCTTCTGGGATAGTATTTAGTTCAGAATCTTTAGTAACAGAGCCGGCAATGTAATTGTTTCATATCTTTAGGTACTCCTGAGTTTATGGCGCCAGAACTTTACGAAGAGGAATACAATGAGCTTGTAGACATTTACGCCTTTGGCATGTGCATGTTAGAGTTGGTGACCTTTGAGTATCCATATGTTGAATGTTCAAATGCTGCTCAAATATTCAAGAAAGTGACATCAGTAAGGGCTTCATGACCTTTTTATGCATATTTTCTCTGTCATAGTTGAGAAGAATTTCCTGTCCTTGAAAGTTACACCAATTAAAAGTGTGGACATGAACAGTCACTGTATCTGTCAGACTCAAGTTTTTTAGTAATTTAATTTTTCTAGATACATTGCATTATTATTTCTTTTGATTGTGGTTAATGATTCATCTCATTGGATTGTGATGCATGATTCAGTTGTGTGGATTCTTTCCCACCAATAGAAGGGTTTATACTTGTAATTCTAGGCATATTTGCACAAACGCCCCTTGATCTCCTGTTCCAGGACCAGCATAAATTTTGTTAGTTTGCCACTTTTCTGAAAAATAAAGTTGTTAGAAGGATTGTGGCGAATGATTGTGATACATTCTAACATGGGCCTTGAATCAGTTATAACATGCTACTTATATCGGTTCTTTTTTTTCGTTATGGGAGGGAGTAAAGCCAGCATCGTTGGCAAAAGTGACAGATCCTGGAGTTAAGGCATTCATAGAAAAATGCATTGTGAAAGTTTCAGAACGCTTGCCTGCAAAAGAACTTCTTATGGATCCTTTTCTCCAATCAGATGACGATCGGGAAAGTATAACTCGCTCTCTACGACCCACTCATTATTCAGGTAAAGTGAGTTTTTTATCTAGTGCTCAAAGGCTTTTTGTGTCATTCTCCTCACATTGTGACATGCTAGATGCAGAAGGCAGTTCTGATCAGATTGATATTGAGACAAAGGATATGGACCCTTCTCATGAGATAAATCGAGACTTCAGTGTGCAAGGTCAGAGGAAAGATGACACGATATTTCTGAAATTACGAATAGCAGATTCTACAGGTAGCCTTTTCTTTCTTTTTTTTTTTTCCCACTTTTCCAGTTTATTTACTTTTCAGTCAAAGAAGTATGTTTTTATGCCAGTTCCTGGTCTTAAAATTGAGAAAGTTTCCACCTGGGCCCAGGTCATTTTCGAAATATTCACTTTCCATTTGACATTGGGGAAGACACTGCAATTGCTGTTGCTAGTGAAATGGTTCAAGAGTTAGACCTGACAGATCAAGATGTTTCAACAATTGCTGAACTAATCGACTCCGAAATCCATTCCCACATTCCAGATTGGCCGATTGGAGAAAATTCTGGAGATCATATTGATGGTGAGGCCTCAACTCCTTATAGCCATGCTTCTGAGTATAAGGAGGATGCTTCCCCCGTGACACACGAGGCCCTTCTTTCTAGTAGTCTTGCGTTAGAAAGATTGCCTTCAGGCCGCAAGTACTGGTGTGAATCACCCAAGGAAGGCGGTGGAAATTCTCCAGGGAAGTATGTCATTACCAATTTGAATTCTCCAGCGGATTCGGTCACTGCGGGAGGTGCTGAAGAAAACGAGAACTCTCCTGGTAGCAGCCCTAGGGAGGAAGATGATGAAAATAGTGCTGGCGCCTCAAATTCACCAAACGGTGGTGTTGAGGAAGATGAGAAATCTCCTGGTGGCCATAGAGAGGAAAATAATCCAAATGGTGATGGAGCCTCTGAATCACCGAGTGGTGATAGTCATGCAGCTACTGATCCACATCTTATTAATGGAGTTCATGCATTTGAATCAGAAGAAGTAAAGATCATTGCCGAGAAACTTGAGAATCTATTGGTAGAACAGAAAAAGGAGTTAGACGAGCTCAAGAGGAAGCATGAATTAGCAATATCAGACCTATTGAAAGAACTCCCACCAGTTTTCTGTCAAAAAGTTTTAGGTATATGCAAGACGAGATTTCCAGACTACAAAGTGCGGTATGAGGGAGACAGCTAAACCAATCAATTTGCAGATTCAGCTTCTCGTTTCCGTTTCATATCTCCACTGCCAATGCTGGGATATATAGATTATTCATTTGATTTTCCAGTGACAGAAATAGAAGTTGCAGATATATCCTGTACTTAGGTAAAGGTTGGGGAGCATGAGCTAGTAGCCGTGTTTTTGGCTGCTGGATGTGGATATTGAGGG